GGCGGGGGCGCGCGGGCCGGGCAGCCGGTCCAGCAGGTGATCGGCGAGCTCCACGAAGAGGTCGGTGCTGCAGGCCGCCGCCAGGTGGCCGAGAGCCACGACGGCCCGTTTGCGCACGGCCAGGCGCGGGCTGCTCAGCTGGGGCAGCAGACAGTGCAGCAGGCTGGCGTGGAAGGTGCCCAGCGGCGCGCCCAGCCTGCGACGGCCAGAGCCGAGCGTCAGGCTGGGGGCCCCAGACACACGGTCCCCCGGTCCCCATCCTCTCCTGTCCTTCTCCCCCAGAAAAATGGCAACCAGGTGGCCCTTGGAAATAGGCGCTCTCCGAGGGTGACAGTGTGACCTCGGGACGGCCACATGGCCTCTCAGAGCCTGTTTGATGGGGACAACCAAGCTTTCCTTTGCAGGGCTGCTGGACGGTTAAGGGCCTGGTGTTCAGCAATGCTAGCCTGCAGCTGTGAGTGTCCCCCGCCCTCACTGCCCAGGGCAGCCTCCCTCACCTGCTCAGCATGTCAGACAGGATGTCCAGGGCCTCCAGCTGCACAGCCACGTCTTCCTGCTGGGCGATGGCACTGGTGAGCTGGCCCGTGATCTTCCGGCACACGTTGGTGGCCAGCCCAGAGCCTGTGCGGGATGCATGGTGGGCAAGGTGGGCATATTTCCTTTGGGGGAAATATGTGCTTTCCTTATAAAGGGGAGGAGATGCGGGCAGAGACCTCAGCCCTGTCAATACTGAGCTGCTAAGTAAATCGCTATGAAACTGAGGTAGCCGGTCCCTCCAGAGACACCACGTTACTTCTTTAAGCTGCACAGTTTAGGATTGATTACTTGCCGCTCAAAGCACTCCTAAAGGACATAAGAGTCATGGATTTAAATGGATCCAATCTAAATTCTCTACCATGGTGACCACGGGTAAGTTTCTTTCCTTCCCCTTTTAAACTTGGGCAAAGAATAGTGCCCTTGGGCAAAGAATAGAGTCCTGGGGTCCCCGGTACCTGTGGCCGCGGGGGGCAGCTCTGAGAGGACCGTCTTGAGGCCGATGCCGGCGATGTCTCGGAGCTGTTCCTTGTCTGACCGCAGGTTGGCACACAGGGCATCCACAATGGTCTCCACCTGGTACTCCTTCACTTTGCCCACCAGGGGACCCAGGCTGAGCAGGGAGGGAGATGGGTCCCAAAGCCCCAGATTTAGCCTAAATCAGGCTGTCCCCCCACCCTTAATTCCCCAGGCTTCTTCTGGGGCCTCATGTACTGAGGAAAATGGCCGCGTTCAACTAGGGGACCCTCTGTGTGGCTAGAAAGAAAGGTACCCTCTGGCAATTCCAGCTAGCTACCCAGGAGGCTGAGGCAGGAAGATCTCTCAAAGTCTGAGGCCGGCCTCAACGACTTACTGGGCTCTGGGCTGACTTTTGGGAGAACCCCAGACTGAGTCACTGTCCCCAAGGAGGGTGACACTCACCACTTGACCGCCAGGTTCTGCACCTCCCCATTCTTGTCATCCAGGAGCCGAAGGAGCATCTTGACCACCTTGCGCTCGCTGTCCTCGTCCAGCTGGATGGAGTCCTTCTGCAGCTCGGACATCAGGTCGCTGGTGGCCATGAACCTGGGGAGGAGGGACGGGGCACAGGAGGAGGTCCTGCCCTTAGACCAAGGGACCTCGGACTGCAGCCCTCATCCTGCAGGGGACTGTCAATCACGCCAGACCCCAGCTCTACTTTCTGAATCAGGGGGTCCAGGTTGCAGCCTGAGAATGTGCATTTCTAACAAGCTCCTGCAGGATGTTCAAGGTCAAGGCCTTCCCCACGGGAGACCACTGTCCTAGGCCAGGCTGGTGGGCCCTGGGCATGTTTCGAAGGCCAGCACAGATGGCCGAACAATAGGGCCACAGACACAGCTCACTGGCTGGGCTGGGCACCAGAGTCGAGCGCTTCATGCACTCACAGGTGGGTGGCCCAGTGCCTATGGTCTGAGGCCCTGTCCCTGGCATTTGAGACGGCAGTGGGAGTCTCAGCGGTTAGGACAGGGAGACTTGGGGCTTCAGAAGAGGACTTGAGCTCTCGGTAGTGACCAGCTTGCAAATGTCTTTTCAATCGTTTGAGAGACCCTGTCTCCAAATAAGAAGGTAGAGTCCCCCTCCCTGGTTCAATCCAAAGTACCAAAAAAAAAAAAAAATTGAACATTTGAATGATTGCTGGTGCAATGGCGCACGCCTGTCATCCCAGTGGCTCAGGAGGCTGAGGCAGGAGGATCTCGAGTTGGAGGCCAGCCTCTGCAACTTAGTAAGGCCCTAAGTAACTTAGGGAGACCCTGTCTCTAAATAAAATATATAAATGCTGGGGAGGTGGGCTCTGGGCTGGAGGAGAGGACACGGCTGGGCTGACAGTGTTTACCTGTGGGCCAAGGTAAGGTTGACGGAGGAGGGTTTGGCTTTGAGCCAGGTCAAAAACTGAGGTGGCCACATGCATCGACAGCTCTGCTCAGCTGAGGGGACATTATGAGAAGGAAGACAAGGTCTGCAAGCTGCGTTTTTCCGCTGCAGGACACGGAAGCCCTGCTCAGCCTCACAACCCTGGGAATGTGCTCCCAGGAAAATCCTTCCTTCTCTACCTGTTGAACTCCTATTCAACCATCAAGAGCCCAGCTTAAAATGCCCCAGCCTCATAGGTGACACCTCCCTGCTTTCCGCCCCCAACACACTTAAGCACAACTGGACAGGATCTTTTCAGAGCACCTTGAATCCCTCTGTTACAGTCCCCGCTGGGCTGCAAAGCAAATTTGGTCACCAGAGCCGTTCTCCCTTTTGATTTTGAACTTGGCAGAGAGCAGGGTCCCTGAGGTTCATCGCTGGGACACCAAGCTCAGCAAAGAACAGGTGTGCAGACGGCCTGGGGGCCGGGGTGAGGGCAAGAGAGGAGGCAGAGCCAAAGAGCTTAGTGTGGAAACCCGAACGCGGAATTCAACTCTTGTAAAATATGCCTCAGTGTTTCAGATGCCCAGCTCGGAAACCAGGCTCAGAGAGGGTGCAGGAACTGCCCAAGGTCACACAGCAAAGCGGGTGGAGAACCGGCTCACCGGCCAGGTCTCCTGGTTCCTCAGTGGAGATTGAGTTTTCCAGGAATTATCTGGAAGTTTCTGTAAGGTTTCTCCAAACTGAGCCATAATGAGGCGGGAATCCAGGAAAACGAGCCTGGCACCCAATGCTGGGGGCGATGCAAGTTGGGAGTGGGACCCTCATTTGCAGTGACTGGTCCCCTCCAGGAACCAGAGGAACACAGTGTGCTTCCCTGCAGGGAATCCCTAGCAGCGCTCTGTTGAAACACTTGGCCACAGGGGCATCTGGACAGCTGGTCACAGGGACCCAGCCCCCTGGTATTCGGACTTTAAAAATAGACACCATTCTCATAGGCTCGGGGTGGTTTTAAGTGTTCTTGAGGCCACTGGCAAGGGACAGACTGTTGGCTGGCACGGCCAACTCTCTGCAGACTGCACTGGAGGCCCAAGAAACTGTGGTGCAAATCCCCAGCGCTGACCATGTGACCTTGGGCAAGTCACCGCACCCCTCCCAGGCTCTGGAACAAGGGACAGAGCAATCACTACTCAACCCAGTGGCTGGGTGGACTGGAGGAGATTACTGTGGGGAGTGCAGCACAGAGCCTGGGACACAGCAAGCATTTGTTGAGCACCTACTGTATACCCCCCGCATAGACTCTGGGTCACCAAAAAGAAGTACAAAGTCCTTGTGGTTCAGGAGCTTAGGGGAGGTGTGCAGCCCTCTCTGCAGTCAAGAGGCATCCCCAAGTGGTGACAATTGAGTGGGAGCTGACAGTTGAAGCGGGAGGTCAAGGAGGTGCCAAGGATTGGAGAAGGGATAGCGCATGGCTGGTTTGTGACGTGCACAGAATCACAATGGTGGCCCTCGATCAAAATCATACCTGGAGCCGACTGTCTCAGGACTCCTACCTCATTTGATCCTCACACCAACCCTGAGGTGGCTCTGTTACTATCCCCGTTTTGAAGAAAAAGGAACTAAGGCTCAGAGCAGTTCAGTAACTTGCCCAAGGTCACACAGCCAGGAAACGGTGGGAAATGGAATCTGAAGCCAAGCTCCAAGGCCCTATTGGGGGAGGTGGGGGGCGCTTGAGGGATACTGAGGAATGGATTGCCAGAGAGGGCAGGGATCAGACCCCAAGAGCAGGTCTCAGTCTCCTCACAGGACAGGAACTAGATTCCGTGGGCCTGGTCAAGATCTTGGCCTACGGATTAGACAAACCTGGATGTGGACCCCAAGTTCTCCACTCCTTAGCTACATGATAGTACTAAGGCCCTTCACAAGCCTCTGAACCTCAGTTTCCCTACCTGTAAAAAGCGGTTAAAGTGACAGCGTGTGTGATAAGTGGGTGTGACCGCGCTGGTCTCCAAGTGCCCCATCAGCTTGGAGGGTGCAGAAAAATTGGCCCATGGGACCAGGGGCCCTTCTCTTTGCTGGGCCTCAGTTTCCCCCGAGACCGAGGCCTTGGCTGGAGGCTTGACTTTCTTTCTAGCTCTGTTCCCAGTGGCTCTGGGAGAGGGGGCAGGGGGTGGCTCTCCCAGAACCTAGAAGTCCAAACCCCAACCAAGACCCGGTGCCTGCCGAGCCCCTCATTGTGGCTGTGGGTGAGCCGTGGGGAGGAGAGGGGACGAGGGGACCCAGGGGACCTGAGTGATCTGGAGAGAGAGAGAGATGGGGGTGGGGGGTCAGATGACTTGGAGAAGAGGCCAGAAGAGGGGATCGGGAAGAGGGGGAGGGGGAGGGGGTGTGGTCCCGGGTTTCAATGGTGGGGGGTGGGGGGGGGCAGAAGAGGCTGGCGCTGGGAGGCCCAGGAGAGAGGCCGAAAGGGAGGCCTGGGGTCCCCCCCAAGGCTGGGAGTGAAAGAAGAAAGAAGAGGCCCAGGAGGGGGGGTGCGAGGGGCGGAGCTGGGGCTCGGATGCGGGGTGCACGGCGGGAAACGACTCAGGGACACAGGGACTCGGGTCCCCGAGGGTCCCCGATGGCCTCCAAGCGGGGGAAGCGGGGGAGGGGAGCGGGGCTTGGTGGCGGGCTGCACGGTCCCCGGGAGGGTCCCCGGCCTGGGGCTGGGGGAAAGGGGGGCCCCGGGTGGCCGTGGAGGCGCGACCCGGGGGCGCACCTGAAGTCCTTGTCGCTGGACGTCATCTTCTCCAGGAGGCTGGAGATGTGGAAGGCGGCGGTGCTCATGGTGGTGGCGCCGCGGGGCCGCCGGCGGGAGCGAATATGGCGGCGCGGGCGCCCCCTCCCCCGCCCCGGCGCCGGCTGCGCTCACGGGACAGAAATAGCAGCCCCCGCCCCGCCCGCCCGCCCGCCGGGCCCCTGGACACCGCCACCACGGCCGCCTGCACCTCCCCAGGTGTCCGGGAGCTCACCCCCCCCCAACGCCACCGCGGGGCGACACCTCCCGGGGCGTCCTGGGGTCCCTTGGACCCCGATCGCTGCCACGGACAAGGCATCGGAGCCCGTTACTCATCCCAGGTTTGCAAGACTTCTCGTGCTGTGCAGACTTGGCCGAGTTACTTTCCCTCTCTGAGCCCCCACTTTTCGTTATCTTGTAGGCATTCAAGCCAGAGAAACGGTCCCCTCGGCTGGTTCGGCCCTCACCTGCGCCTGCCTGCCCCAGAACCACAGAGACAGGACGTGGTCCAGTCACACCAAGTTCAACCCACAGTCCAAACAAAGCCCTGGGGCACTGAGCGCAGGGGCACTTGACCACTGAGCCACACCCCTAGCCCTTTTTTTATTTTTTGATTTTCACACAAGGTCTCACTAAGTTGTTTAGGGCCTCCGTAAGTTGCTGAGGCTCACTTTGGATTGGTGATCCTCCTGCCTCAGCCTCTCAAGCTGCTGGGAATAGAGGTGCATGCCTCCGTGCCCTGCTGTCTTATATATTTTTTAAAAATTTCTCTGGGTATCCTGCACTGAACCCAGGGTCTCCTGCAAACTAAGGGCACCCTCTCCAATGGAGCTACACGCCCAGCCCAGTAAATGGAGACTTTAAGGTCACCTGTACCTTTGTTTTCTACCCCTATAAATCATCTCTTCCAGCCAAGCAAGTAGACCCCCTAACCCAGAGGCACAGAGAGTGGTGCACGACACTTTCCCAGGCTCCCTTACTCCTGCATAGATTCCAAACACCCATATGATCACCCCAGGATAAGATCGCTATGGGCACACTGTATCTGGCGGGGAAAAATAGTCAAAGAATTGTGAATATTCTTGGTGGGAATCAAAGTAAAAACTCAGCGTAGAACCTGGAGTCTTCCATTAGCTACTTAATGACAGCAGAACCAAATATAGATTGTTTTTAATAAAACTAGGCAGATGTAGATAAGAGTTTTTCCACCCCTTGAGGCAAACCTTACCCATCACCGAACTCAGCACAAGCTGCAAGCCTCAACAACTAAGCACTACAGGTATTTTGGGGTTTTTGTTTTTAGTACCAGGAATTGAATCAGGGCTAATTAAACACTTAGTTACACCTCCAGTTCTTTTTTTGTATTTTATGTAGAAACAGGGTCTCACTGAGCTCCTTAGTGCCTCACTAAGCTGCTGAGACTGGCTTTGAACTCGAAATCCTCCTGCCTCAGACTCCCAAGCTCCTGAGTTTACAGGTGCGCACCACGACACAGGGATGGCCTTCCACTACTAAAAACCCTCTGGTGGTTGTCAGTGGAGCTCCTTATATAGCTCTTGGGCCACTGCGATTGGTCGAAACTTATGCAAATTAGGGTTTGAAAATGTACTAAAGCTATTGGTCCAAACGTATGCTAATTAGGGTTTGGAAATGTTAACGCTATTGGTCAATTCTTAAGTCCTGCCTTTCATTCAAGTGGGTTGCAGCTGCTGTGCTCCCTGCAGTGGGCTATGCCCAGACCTGGCCCCTGAGGGAAGATATCTTGCCTTGCGCAGGCCCTCTGCGCTTGCATGGCGGGCTCTGTTGACCAAGCCAGCCCAGCGTTTGCCACCTGTGCTTCAACCTTTCTGGGTTGCAACTCTGCTAACCCACCTGGGATGCCGCTTCTTGGCAGGGACCAAGTAGATTGGCCAAAGTGTTGGTGCGGGACTTTACCATACATCTGTTCTATCAAGTTCCTTAGCTGGTTATTAGTATTCCTAATAAATGTTCACATTTTAGTAGGATTGCTTGTAATATGGCAAG